ATGGGGAAAACTTCGAAAACACCCATGCAGCCAGCCCGTTCGCGGGATTCGAACCTCGGACCAAACTACCAGTCCGAAGGTATCGGAAATCAGTTTATGTATTTGGTAGTTTTATGTATTGTATTGCCTTGTGTTCGACGTTCTTACTAGTCTGAAGTGACAACTACTGATTGTGCTGTCATATTGAAAAGAGCTGTACGAGTACTTCCAGTTTTGGAATGGAAGGAAGGAATGTTCTTCTAGCAATGGTGAAAAGGGTACACGGGGTAAAATAAGTTGAGAAACACTTATCTTTTATTTATTAAACTTTTCTTCTTGCATAAACACAGAAGTTTGTATGCAAATAATCATAAACCTCTTTATTTTTTATTTTCTTTATTTCTTATTACAGCTTGACACTGGACGGCGTTTCGATTCCGATGAAGTGTGTAGAAATTTTTAGCCTTGGAGAGGAAATTACTAGAACTTATCTTCATCACGGATTGCAGATGCTCATCGTTAATGTGATTTTTTTTATTAATTTTTACTTTTTTAAAAAAAATTTTTACTTTGAAAAAAAAAAAATAAAAAATATACAAAAAAAAAAAAAAAAAAAAAAAAAAAAAAAAAAAAAAAAAAAAAAAAAAAAAAAAAAAAAAAAAAAAAAAAAAAAAAAATCCACAATTTTTTTATTTTAAAACAAAATTGAAGGTAATCATATAAAAGTATTTTTTGATTAAATTTAATTTAAAAATCTGTATCTTTAAACCTTTGAGTAAGATTTCTATATCACATTGTAATTTACTTAGCTCCGTTTATAAATTGGTGGTGCTTTACAAATATTCAGTTTTAAGGACAATGAAAATAACATAAACTTAAACATCAAACAGCTAAATTCTTGAAACTTTGCCACAAATACATCATTGAAAGGTATCCCCGCCTCGCGGGTCGCATAAAATTACTCCGGGGATTGCCAGTTTGAGATCACTGGATTAAGCAATACGCAGCATACAACTTATTAAAAAAATCATATAATCAGCATCAAGAATCATCGCAAAGATATAATGTATTAAAAGTATCGTTTTAATTAATTACGCCCTCGTTTTCCGTTTAAATAAAATATGTAACCAAAGCGACTATAATTTCTCAAACGGTAAATGGCAAAAAGTTAAAACGGTTTAAAAAGACTTTCCTATATTAAAGTAAATTTCTAAAAATTTAATTTTTAAATGGCAACAGTCAGAAAAGTTTTGAAAGAAAACGGTTTAAAAAGACTTTTCCTCTTATCCAAGAGTAAATTGCCTCATGTTACATTTTATTACTTTTGACATGTAATTCTTCTATGTAGTGTTTTTATTTTACTTAAATTTGCTTTGTTAAATGTAAAATTTACATGGCCCCCTGGTTATAGTAGTAAATATATTAAATTCGAGGAATAAATATCATCTTTTGAAGATTAATTCACGAATTCTTATATTGAAGAGGAACATTATTCGAAGTTTTACAATAACGAATTCTGATATACATTTACAGTATTTCTTCGCGTATCCCCCTTTTTTTACTAGTTATATCGTCTGAAAATCAAGAGAGAAAAATTATGTCAATAATTTAATTTTCAAAGAGCGCGGTTATAGTAACAACATAACAAATTAAAAGTAGTTATTGGATAAGCTACTGGTAACTATCACAATATTATTTCTTTAGAAGAAACCTACATTCCAGTAAGAATACACAGTAATATTAATATTAAAACATCTAATAAGATATCTTCATTTCTACTTTCCTGTAATATGAATCTCGCCCGTCTTAATTCTTATCTCTGCTACACCTTAAGCCTCAAATCATTCATAAATAATTAGAGAAGGTGAATTTTCAGAAATTTGAACCCAGCGTACACTGAATGTCAGTTCGTATTTGCTTCGCTGTGATGGGTCGGTTCTCGTACTAGGCTGGCATAAAGTACAACAGTTAGAAGGGAAAGGTTCGGCGTGACCTCTGCAAGTGGTTTGCGAGGGTCTGTCTTTGTTATTAAGACGAAAACTATCCTTACGTGGACGAATCCATTTTTAAAACTTAGGTCCGCTGGCTTTCTAAGCGCACCGAGAAAGAGGAAAATTACGCGAATATTTTTAAAATTTACAGAGCCTGGCATTAAAAAGCTAGGGGGGGGGAAACATGAGGGCGAAAAATACGTGAGGAAATACTATAAGTAAACAGTAATTAATACTACATCATGTGAATCGATACGACAAGGAGGGGGAAGGAGCTTTGCATGGATGCCTGTAATTTTTTTAAGGAATTTTTTCTTATGTATTTTTTAAATGACTATAAAATTATCACTAAAAAATGATATCATGTTTTCATATTTAACAGATAATAAGATATCTTCATTAACGTGTTAAAATAGGCATTATTAGGACGTAATTTAATAAGAAACAAAAGGGGACATTCCCGTAATCATCATTTTATGTTTTCCAAGCACTATTTTTCATAAAATTAAAATTTAAAAAAGTGTCCACGAATTTGAATTTTTCTAGTTACCAGATCACCAGAAGGTGCAACGCAATATACTTTTTGATTAAATATGATTAGGGAAAAAAAAAACATGACACCGAAAAATAATATAAAATCATTAGTATTATTCTTTCGATTTATATATCTCCCCTTTTCATCTTATAATATAAATACTAACTCGTCAATGGTGAAGCAGGCAAGCCTCTTCTTGAGGCCTTCTTTTTTCTGTTTTTCCAATGCAGCTCTACCCAGGAAAGGCGTCTCGGTCTTCAGCTTGCATGTAAATCCCAAACCAGCCTCCAGTGGTGTATCATCCAATCTGAGATCAGCATGCCAGTGCCTGTAGCCTAAAATAATCATAATAATAATTGCACATTACATATCATTCAAGAAAAAGAAGTGTAGGATGTCCCTACAAAAGCGCCGCATTTAATATGCCCCCCCCCAAAAAAAAAACTTTATTTTCAGAAATTGGAAAATAGTTTTGCATACTTGCAACAGCCAAATGTTCCGATTTAAGAATTGAGTTTATTTGACCTGGCAAGACATTCGTGGCTTCATTGCAGCTTACTCGACTTGCAGCAATATGCAAAGGAACAGCGAGTTCTGATTTGGAAAACCCATTACCAGAATGGCGAGTGTTATGCACAGACTGTTGAGAAGTTTCGTGCAAGCTTTTGGCGTAAAAATGTGCCTAATAGAACAACAAATCGCAGATTGATAAAGACATTTGAAGACATTTCGACAGCAGACATTAAATTCCCATACTCTTTATTCCAGCCGATTAGCTGAAAAACATCGTTATTGTACATGACAGTCAGAATTTGATTAAACCATGAAGCTAAATAAGCCCATCCAGAGGGTATCAAGGAAATATAAAGGTGCTCAGGGACTTCGGTCAGCGAGCACAACAAAAAATTCCATCGCCAATTTCATTATGGAATGTAAATGGATTTCATCATCACGCAGCAAACTGGCAAATCAAGAGCGATAGAGAAGAAAGGGATAAACATCCGCGTAAATTTATGTAAAGGAACCAAAATCCATTAATTGCTTAGAGATCTTCTAATCTTAATCCGGTTGTGACAGCACTGTTAATAGAAGTCCCAAAGAATCCTACCTTTACAGTTTGGTTAGGTTATACGAATGTGGCACAGCCTCGGGGGATGCCTTCGTGGAGGATTCTCTAAGGAAAACTGACTCGTTTTCTTGTTGCATATGGGAAAAACCAACCATGCATGAAGCTCATTCGCCTGAGACTCGATCCTAAACCAGATCGAGCCAGTGGTCTTCACCGCTCGGCCACTGGTGCGACCTTAAAGATGAAAATAAATTAACTAAAGGAGGAAACTGAACATGTCATTAGTCACCTCGACAGGCGAGAAAGTGATTACAGATTTCATCGAAATAGTGTAGTGCGGTAAAACAAGTCATGGAGGACATATGCCAGACATAATTTTTTTATTCTTAGATCAGAGCTTTACTTGTGTTAAATATGTAAAAATATATTCCATTTTTAAAAAATAAAGTATTTTATTAGGTACACTCAATCCTGCGCTTTTATTAGGACACTATTCATATACTCAGCATTTCATGAACTCATATGGCAATAAAATGTACGTAAAATCGAAATTATCAATGGCATTAAAAATAAAACAAATTTTATTGAAAAGCTATTTGAATTATGTTTTTTCCTCTCAAGTTACCCCGAAGATTCAAGAAAAGATCCTCATGGTTGAACAAAAGAATTTTGAATTAATGAAAGCAGAAATGCTGATTTATCTGATCCATAGCCTAGCATTGGAAGAGTTGCAAATAATCAACTTATCTATGAATATAAAATATAACTAATTCATAGTTCATACTGAAGACTCTAATATCTATACATTTCGTGTAATGAAACGTAAAAGGATTGGATTGGATTATTTAATTAAGGCAAAGCACACGAGGGCTATCTGCCTAAAGGGAGGGATGCCTTCGTGGAGGACTTTCTAAGGGGAACTGGCTCGTATACACGTTACACATGGGGAAAACCACGAAAACGCCCATGCAGCCAGCCCGTTCGCGGGATTCGAACCTCAGACCGAACTACCAGTGTTCAGCGTCTGTACCGCTCGGCCGCTGGTGGGCTGAAACGTAAAAGGAAATAAAATGCATAAAATGGCCTATCTTTCAATAGAACACAATAAGCGGTAGTGGTAAACATATTCCCCCACCTCCCTAAAAAACCTTAAAAATTAAATTAATTTTATCTAATAAAGAAAACGGATTTCTCTTCTTAAATCAATCAATCTCAATCCCAAACATTTTAATATACCATAATTAGAAAAAAATAGCCTATAAAGGGTTTGTTATATTACGTTGCCATTTTGAATATCATTTTTTATTTCCTTGTACGAAATGAAGAAAGCATTAAAATAGCGAACGATTTCGGGTATCATATTTTAAAGGAAATACCCATTTTGATTATTTTTTGCGTGATGCCTATACGTACGGAACACAATAAAACGTTCTTTTTTCCAAAACGGATTGTAAATTGGATTTTTTTCATGACGTCTGTACGTATATACGTACGTATGCATCTCGCATTATTGTAATCCGAAAGCACCAAAACCACAAATATCCATCCACCTTTCATGGCTTTAAAGTCCTTACCCGGCCTTTATTTTCGCAATCGTTGGTCACAGTTATACACTTCCAATTAAAAATGTGTTTTGTATGACGAACATATTCATGTTTTGGTAATGTTAAAAAAAAAAAAAAAAAAAAAAAAAAAAACGGAAAGGTTTTAAATTTAAAATTACGTCCAAAGGGGCGATTTTTTAACGTTTTGTGTATTACCTTTATTTATTAAATATCATGTCCTTTTCACTTGAAATCCTTGAGTTTGTTAATCAAAAATTCGTTAAAGTTTTACAAAATATGAAATCGATCATAAAACAAATTCCAAATTTCAAATTTGGTCTTCCACATGCCCATATTCGAAGGAGGATTACGTCACTCAAAATTCGACGGCTCTATGTACCGTTGTTTTATCAGAATGCGAGAAATATACATACATTTATGCAGATTTTGCATTATTTGATTTCTTCAAATATAATGCAGGACTCTAACATTTGGTGGCAACAGTTTGAAAAGTGAAACGGACATTTATAGTGATTCAACGCAAAACGAAAACAATAGTCCTTCAGGGACAAATTCAGGGACAAAGCCCCTTTGGACTAAAAAAGACAAATAACGAAATTTAACTTTTAATGTAGCCTCCCGATTTTTATACTTATATCTTTGAAATATTATACTCATTATGGAAAATAAATAAATAAAATTAAATTGTAGGAATTTTGACTTGGTACGACAAAAACTGAGCGGGGAATTTTCAAAATTTGCAATTTTTAAAGTCATTTTCAACTTGCCTTGAGGAATCGGTTAATCAAGTTTGAATGATTCGAGGAAATAAGTTAAAATAATGTGCAGCAAAAAATGTGTATAATTTAATAGGCTGTACAAGGAAGTCATGTAGTGGCCATATCAGATTTTGTTTCACATCGTTTAATGTTATTCGGTTAATGCTATCAAAAGAGGCGGAGACAAACGCGACCAAATTACGTGACCCCTCTTGTAGTCCTCATCATGACAACCGTAATTTCAATATATCATGTTCTACCTTATGTTCAATTAATCTCAAGATATTCCACCTAGTTAGATAAGGTAGTACCATTCTGCTCCTTAAAATCCCGGTTTCATTCAAAAAATTTAACAACGGTTCCCAGTTAAATACTCCGCTTCAATAATCTCGATGCAAATCTGATCTTAACAGTAGGGGGCACACCGCAAAATTTTCCGGTTAAAAAAGTACTGGGAGATTCTCTAGAGCGTACCTCTTCAGATAGTGCCGACAAAAAAAGACGAGCGACCACCCAAGCGGTCCCAGTATAATCGGATGACACGAGGAGAGAACGTGAAAAAATGCCCATTTAGTACAATCGAAGAGGAGATAGACTACTTTGATCGCAGCGCCAACGGCAGCTTCCTTCGGTGTCTTTTATTGCTAGTTGTTGAGAAGTGGAAGGTAAGTCTTCAGAATCTCAAGGCCACCTGGCGTGGGAAAATAGTCACTGAGAGAATAGGTTCTAGTTTGCGGCCAAGATGCGCCTATGCTATTAACGGCATTCAGTCGCTGATTGGAAAGCAATGGCTATATACCTTTGTAGCTAATGTATTTATAGTCGTTACAATACATTTCAGTTCTTCAGGCGTGGGAAGATTTGCAAATAGCTCTGCAAAACAAAAGTGTACAGGTGAAGTAGATCACTTAAGAGATGCTATTTATGGCTTTACTGTCATTCTACAGTTCTCGTATAGTCAAAGAATTAAGATAAAATGCCTTTTGTAACATAAATGTAGTGAGAGAAGACTATAATGATATTGTTAACACCACGCATCTGCAGAACCGTAGAAAAAACGCATTTAAAAATTGAAAATGCATTTAAAGATGCATGAAAAAAGCATTTACTAAAGATGTCATACATGTTTAATTTAAAAAAAAAAAAAAGAAGAAGAAGAAGAAAATCTGAAAGGATTAAGATTTTAACGTAGTATGCGATTTGTTAAGGATTTGTTAAGGTTTTTTAGCCATTCGCAGAGCAGGTTACAAATCTGCTTTCGGACTCATTCCTGCTAACACATTTTTTTTTTGGCGTTTTTAGCGTTATTATTAAACATTCCTTTCTTCGCACCAAAGCAATATTTTGTAAGCAAAATTACAAGCTATTTAAAAATAGCAAATCTTTAGAAATCCCGATAGAGTCTCAGGGGCTGTTATAATTTTTTTCTTATATTTGCTAGAGAATCTCATAGTTTAATAATTCTGATTAAATATCTCGTGGTATTTTCATTTAAATCAATCATATAAAAAAACAGAAAAAATTTCGTAAGAACTGCATTTATTGCTTTTAAATAATTTAGTTTGTTACTCAGTAACAGAAAGATAAAATCTGAAAGCTAAATATCTTAGGCTTTACTGAAGTAGCTAGAGCGTGCGAAAGAGAAAGATGTTTATATCCGGGAATGGCAACATATTGCTTTCAAATAGTCGAATTCGTTGATTAAAATTCAAATACATAAATATCTTATATTTTGTCGAATGGCAAATGTCTGACGCACCAGAGGTAAAAATGTTTTATTTCGAACAGTTTTGCCATTTCTCGCTTTCAAATCACTAAGTTTGTTAAACAAAAATTCGTTAAATTTGTAAAAATATGAAATAAATAAGAAATAAATTCGGGTTTCGAGGTGCACAAATTTGGGTGAAGGACTACATGTATTAAAACAATTCGATGGTTCTAGATGTCGTCGTTTTTTGACAATGCGAGAAACATACATACATATATTTAATTTTAATTTTTTTTAAATCTAATGTAGACATCACATGACTTCCTTTGTACTGCCTATTAAATTATGCAAATTTTTGCGTTTAAACTTATTTCCTCGAATTATTCTAACATAATTAACCAATTCTTCAAGACAAATTGAAAATAACGTCAAAAATTCCAAATTTTGAAATTAAATATCCCAGTCATTTTTGGTCGCACGGGGTCAAACTGCTTATAATTTTATTTTTTTAGAATAAATATAAAGCTTTCCCAAATATAAGTATAGAAACAGGGAAAACCACATTAAAGTTGGAATTCGTTATTTGTCTAAAATTAATTATTTGAGATTTCAAATTGCCAAAACATGAATTTATTTAAAACAATTTTGTAATTGTAAGTAGGTATATGACTACGGCCAACGATAGCTAAAATAAAGGACCGGCAGGGACGTTTAGGCTGGGTAAGGGAAAGGTAAGTATATTAATGTACTTTTGGTACTGCTGATTGCAATAAAAAAAGAGAAAGTGCAGAACTAAATATTACAGCAGACCCATATACAAAATTCAAACATTTTACGGCTAGTCGTTTTTTGAGTTATGCCAGGTACATACATATATACGTACAGATCTCACGTACATACAGACGTTACGGTGGGGAGTCAAAATAGATATTTCGATTGAAATATGATAGCTGAAATGTTTTGAGACTACAATACTTCATAAAAAAAAAAAAAAAAAAAAAAAAAAAAAAAAAAAAGAATGGATATGCTATAAAAATTTTTAAAAATATATTTTGATCTTCCTTTTTCTATTACTCACAAATTTATAACGCCTAATTTCATTTTTGCTACACACGCTATCCACAGGTCTTTATTCTTGCAGTCGTTGGGCTAAACTCGAAGTTTAACCATGTCGGAAAAACTTCCTTACCAAATGGCCTTGATCAAGCGCTGCTAGTTCAGCGTCTTAGCCTTAACACTTCTTTCAAGAAAAGCCGCTGTAACTCTGGTGCACGGAAAAAAAAAGAAAACGGGAAAAGGGCACCAGAAAATAAGGAACGGAAAGCAGGGCATTGGAAAATGAGGAACGGAGAAAAAGAAACTTTAAAATCTCGCCAAATAATATCGCCAATCGGAGTTGAAAAAAAAAAAAAAAAAAAAAAAAAAAAAAAAACCTAAATTATCATTAAATGAGAGACCCTTAGTTAAATGAGACACTATTAGCTAATTGAGAAATTTTGCTGTTTTTCTACCATCTGCGTTTGGCGACATTACTTCGTGATATTCAAAGATTCCCTTTTTTTCTGGTTCCTTTTATTCCGTAAATTATCTCTCCCCCCCCCCCCGGAATACCGTATTGGTTCATAGCCAATTTATAACATCATTTGAATAAAATGTAAAAAATCTGAAATGGCCAGTATATGATTTCTCGCCAATTCCATCTCTTGACACGAAATTGACAGAATATTTGCTATTCTGCTTTAAGTAAACTATCGCTTCCGGTTGATCGTTTGTTAATAAAACCTAATTTGTTCATCCTATGGACACTGATAATTGAACGTGCTCGTGTACACATCCGTTCATGCTTGAAAAATATCGTATCGATCGTAGTATATCCTCTGGTCATACAATGCTTCGGATTCACAAATCAATAATAACAATCAGAAAATTTTTAAAAACAGCATATCTTTAGAATTCTCGATAAAGTGTTAAGTGTTGCATACATTTCTTTTTACAATCGACATACATATTTTTTATATTATTTCTTTAAAAATATTCTTGCAAATATTTTTAAAGAAGTTTAAAACAATGAAAATAAAAATTAAAAACAAAGAGACTAATCTGCGTTATGTGCTGCAAAATTGAAAATTTTAAAATAAAAAAATAAAATAAAATAAATAATAATAATAAAAATAATAATAAAAACAGTAACGAAAAGGAATAAAATTCCGTACTAAAACTTGAAGATCCAACCTAATTTCTCCGAGTTATATTATTGTTGCGTGCGTACGGTTTCGTTACGAAATGAATGCACAAGTCCGATGAAAAATGAACAAAAATTTATTATTATCACAACAAAATGCTTAAATTTTCTCAAATTAATCATGCAGTATTACAATATCTCACAGTAGTTATCTTTTAACTACTCAAATGTCAAAGTCAATAGAACGTAATTCAAAACAGCTAAAGAACGCTAATCCGCGAATTCGCTACAATCAACAAGAGCAGTTTTTCTAAACAACAACAAACTAAGCAACTACTACAAACTGAGATGTTTTCCCTCCTTTTATAAGATTTTAAAATCACGCGCTAGAATTTTCCAGTACTTTCTCGAAATCAAAAAGAGATATTTATTTATTTAATGCACGCGCTCTTGTATTTTCAATTTTCCGGCTTAGCTTTCTTTTAATATTCGTCACGCGCGCTGCACTGCGCGAGAAATAAAACCATTTAATTTATAATTGAACTAACATTAGCTTTTTAAATACCAAATTCGTAACACTGCCCCCTTCCCAAGGACTGCACGTCCCGGGCAGTACAATCCCTGGACAGGAAGCTAAACTTACAACTGTGGCATAAATGCATTAATAAGCATTACATTACAATAATAAACAACATGAACAATAAATGCAATAACTAACTTAAACAAATCAAATGCTATCAAATACTAAATACAAAACAAATACTAAATACAAATCAAATCAAATAAATACACATTTATAAAACAAAAAGGACCATGGTCTGATACTATTTACAATTATTTACATTACGTACTATGGCCATAGTAATGAGCTAACCTGTCGTAATGAACGACTTTAGGTTTAGAGTTCGAAGACTTACGAATCCGAACCACGACGTCATTCAGCCTGTTTTAGGACTGTGTACGGGCCATCCCAAGGTGACTGTAATTTCGGACAAAGTCCTTTCCGTCGAGTCGGATTCCACAACCACACCTTGTCTCCTTCGTGGAATTGATGTTCAGTAGCTCTTGTGTCGTATCGGGTCTTCATCTTCTCCCGTCGCCAAGTTGACTCGCTCTCGTGCAAAGTTTGTGCATCACTTCAAACCGGGCCTGGAGATCTTGAATATATTCCTCAGACGATGAAGGAGCATCCGGAGGGCGGCCAAACAATAGATCACAAGGCAGACGAAGGTCACGACCGAAGAGCATCTGTGATGGAGAATAGCCGGTAGTCTCGTGGACAGCACTGCGGTAAGCCAGTAAAAAGAGTGGTAATTTCTTGTCCCAGTCCTGTTGGTTTCTGGAAACCACTAATGAGAGGTTATTAAGGATGGTTCGATTGAACCTCTCTACCATGCCGTCCGACTGGGGATGCAATGGCGTCGTTTGAGTTTTGTCAATGCCGAGTAGTTTGCATAGTTCTTTGATTACTGCCGAGGCAAAATTCCTTCCCTGATCGGAATGTAACTGAAGAGGCACTCCGAACCTGGAAATCCAGTGCTGTATCATTACCTCAGCTACTGTGACTGCCTCTTGATCAGGAATAGGATAAGCTTCAGGCCACTTGGTGAAGTAATCAATGACAACGAGTATGTATTTGTTGCCATCAGCAGTTCGTGGCAGAGGTCCCAGGATGTCAAAGGCGATACGTTCAAAAGGCGCACCTACGTTGTAACGTTGCAGTCTGCCTCGGCTGCGTTTCCTCGGTCCTTTCCGACCTGCACAGGCATCGCAAGATCGGCACCACTTTTGCACGTCATTCTTTGCATTATTCCAGTAAAAGCGCTCACGAACTCTCTGTAAGGTCTTCATAATTCCAAAGTGACCTCCTGTAGGGCTATTATAGTTATTTGGATATTCTATGATGCCGTAGCGGAAATTCCTGTTTTCGGCTATGGATCCAGGAAGTAAAATTTCTGTTCTTGCCGGTATTGTGATTGTTTCAGCCACCAGAGCTCTCTGCCTGTCTGTTAGATATTATTTCGCAATGCGCAGATTGTATGCGTAGTTCGCATTTTGTTCTTGCATTCTTAAAAACCGCTAATTGTAACTCTGTCGTTTTACTTTGTGCTGTGTTGTGTTAGAAAGTTCAAACCGCGAATAAAGGTTGAATTTACAGTCCACTCGCAGTGATGTATTCTTAGGTTTATTAATTTAAAGTTAAGATACCGCTTCGCTACAGTGATATTGTCTTGTGCTATGATTTTATGGACAGATTTAACTTCTTCATCATTAACTCCAAATAACGCTATGTCCTCAGATGTAGAATGCAATTCGTTATTTTTAAAGTCCAAGGAAAAATTGTATTTCCTTAGAAAGTCCAATCCGAGTATGCAAGAATCAGTGATCTCTGCTACATATGCCGTGTGGTGGTAAGCGGCACTTCCAAACGTGATGTTAACATTTGCTTTTCCTTCGATGTCGATCTTCTCACCGGACACAGTTTGGAGAGTAACGCAGGGCGGCGTCCAGATAAGTTTGTTTCCCAGTTGTTGAGCTAAATCTTTTCGGATGATGGTAACGTTGGCTCCTGTATCTATCGTCATATTGCAGGGAACTCCCATTAATATTGTCCTATTATGAAAAGTCCATTACTGCCGCCTCTCACTGCAGAAATCTGAAACGCTTTAAACTGGGGTTTTTCATTATCTGGCAACCTCCGCCCCGCGAGATGGCCACTAATTAGTTTCCCTGCTGTTTGTTAGGAGCGGTCTTAACATCCGTACCCTGGGGTATTCTGCAGTTTCGTCGTATGTGTCCTTCAGCACCGCAGTTCCAGCACTTAACGGTCGGTTTCTTCTCACCAATATTCCGTCTCAAGGAGTTCAGTTGTCTAGTTAAATCGTCTAGACGAGCGGTGACTTGATCCCCTGGCTCCTGCACTTGAGCAGCTCTGACTGGGTGGCGGTCTCGACGAGTGGCTTGCTGGGCTGCCTCGAATTTCATGGCGTACACTAGAGCGCTTTTTAAATCTTTAACATCCGCCATTCGTAGAGCCTTCTGTATTTCGGGATCACGGATGCCATCGATAAAGTACTGCAGGGACAGGATTTCCCTCGTTTCTCTCGGGCACTCCGTAAAGGCGAGGTGGGACAGCCTTTCAACATCCGTGGCGAGTTCCTGGAGTGATTCGGTGGGCTTCTGTTGACGGGATTTTAATTGTAGCCTGCTGTAGTCTTTTAAACACTTCTCGCCAAAGCGCAGCTCCAATGCGCCGGATAGAGCTTCCAAGTCAAGTCTTTGGTTTTCTGGAAGTGTCTGCAGGATATCCGCTGCGTCTGCTCTCAGAGAAGCGGCGAGATGACAGGCCTTAGTTTGGGAATCCCATCCATTCGCATCCGAAACGATAGAAAATTGTGTTTTATACACTTTGCCAGGATGGTCTTCCCATCATATGTGGATAGCTTCAGAGATGGGACAGAGCAGGCCATCGATAAAATTTTAAAACCCTCAGAATTGCTTCCCTCTGTCCGTCATGCTACGAATTTCTTTAAAGTGTCCAGCTTCTTTTGCACAACGCAGCAGAAACCCTTTCCTTCAATTTGTTGTTGGACGGCAGAAACTCTTTTTTCAATTTGTTGCTCTACCGCAGAAACTCTTTCTTGAATTTCTCCAACTTTCTTCAACTGTGTCCATTCTTCCTTCCATACCTTGGAACTTGTTTTCTATTATGCAAGTAATTTCTCTCTTCAATTCCTCTTGACCTACTTGCATTTCCTCCTTAATGGATTCCTGGCCCAATTTCATTTCTCCTTTAAACGGATTCCGGCCAACTTCATTTCTTCTTCCTTTAAAAAACGGACCTAATTTCTTCTTTTAACAAGGTCTTTTCATTTCTTCTTTAAATGTAGCAAAGGCTACCATGAATTGTTTTAAACTGTTCTTCCATCGCTCTTGTGATTGGCATTCAATAGCCCACTCCTGACAAACACCAAAAATTGTTGCGTGCGTACGGTTTCGTTACGAAATGAAATGCACAAGCCCGATGAAAATGAACAAAAATTTATTATTATAACAACAAATATGATTAAATGTCCTCAAATATCGTGCAGTATCACAACATATCACAGTAGTTATCTTTTAACTACTCAAACGTTCAAAAGAACTTAATTCAAAACAGCTAATGAAAGCTAATTCCGCGAATTCGCTACAATCAACAAGAGCAGTTTTCTAAACAACACAAACTAAGTAACTCCTACAAACTGAGATGTTTTCCTCCTTTTATAAGATTTTAAAATCACGCTCTAGAATTTTCCAGTACTTTCTCGAAATCAAAAAGAGATATTTATTTATTTAATGCACGCGCTCTTGTATTTTCAATTTTCCGACTTAGCTTTCTTTTAATATTTGTCACGCGCTGCACTGCGCGAGAAATAAAACCATTTAATTTATAATTGAACTAACATTAGCTTTTTAAATACCAAATTCGTAACATTATAAACTTGTAGAACGAAAATTAAAGAAAATAACAAAAACGGAATCATAAAATGTACACTTCAAGGAGAAAAATCATTTAAAACATAAAATGCTGCTGACTTGTAAGTTTTCGGAAGGGTAAGTTCGATTTTTTTCAATAGTTTCATTTTTTTAAAAATATTTTCTTCTCTTAATTTACATGATTCGCTCCAGTAATTACAATATTTAATTTTTCTTTGGCAATATTTTTTTTTAATTCACAAAAAAAGTTGACACTTTACACAAATGAGCCAGCCCTTGTACTAAAATATAAATGCATTGAATAAACAATTTATTTTTTAATTTTGAATTAAAATTGATTAATTAATTCTGGAATCAGAATTTATTTTTAATTTTGTCTTGAATATAGTCAGTTTTTAGCCTTTTTAGGCTTCTTCAATTTTTTTTAACATTTTGCATTTGTATCTAAATGTTTGTACTGTAATACGTGTAGTGAAAAAACTTGAGACTTTTAAAATAAAATTTGTTTTATATTGTAGAGATATCAGGTAATTTTTTGGAAGCAGAAGAGATGAAAAATTAGCAACGCCTTCACCGGGAATCGAACCACGGACCTATGAAATACCGGCTCAGTGTGCTGACCACTACACCACGAAGGCACGCTAGGAAGGCGTGAGAAATACCTTATAATATGAAAGCTGGATAAATAAAAAGCAGTTTTGAGTCTCAAATGATTTAGAGAAGCGAAACTGCATTCGACACTTATTAATCAACTTGGTTTAAGGCTCCAAAACACTTTTGCCTTGACAAGTTCTGTTTGAAGCGTTAAACAGAGGAGATTAAAACTTTTATTATTTTTGGTTTTGTTATGTACAAATTTTCTGTATTTCAAATAATTTTTCTTCTTGAAGTGTACATTTTATGATTCCGTTTTTGTAATTTTCTTTAATTTGCATTCTACAAGTTTATAATGTAACCTGGAGAAATTAGATTGGACCTTCAAATTTTAGTACGAAATTTTATTCTTTTATGTTCCGATTTTTTTTATTTTCATAATTTCTTTAAAAATATAATACACAACGATAACATTTGGTGGCAGAATCATTTTATTTGAAAAGAGGTGAAACGAACACAAAATTGATATAAATAATACAAACAAACACAAAATTGATATAAATCACAACAACGAACACAAAATTGATATAAATGTATAAGCCTCTAACGAGGCTTATACATTTAACTGCTTCATAACGAGAGCTCGTTTTCTTAATGTGCTTATTTTCGTTGTATTCCGCATAATTTCAAGAGGACATTTAATGCTTATAAATGTAATATGTCATTCTCAATCATGTACCTATTTTAGAAACCAAATTTGGGAAGTTTGGTATTATCTTATAATATAACTTTTCCGAAAGTCTCTTCAGAGCTTTCGTGTATTCCGGTGTGTCTGTTCCGGTTTAAAGAAATGTTCTCTCTGAACTGTAAAAGAACCGCAACGTTGTTTTTTGGAATCGCCTGTTCACTGGTTCAGTAATCAATTCGAGTGAGTTGTCCAACTCTAGCGTATAGTATCAGAGTATAGAATAGAAGTAATGTAATTATTTCAATGTCTGCAATAAATAATATGAGGGGGGGAAACCTAGTCTTTCGTTGAATGCATTAACAGAAATTGCATTTAAACCATCGAATCAAACCAACTATTATTTTTTACTTAAAATACGCACTTCAGAAGGCGCAATTTTAAAAGTTAAAGTTAGTTAATTTATTAAATTCTTCTAGCATTTCCATTTTATTTGGTAGGATTCTATGTTAATTAACTAATTCTATGTTAATATGTTAATTTCTATGTTAATCTAAATTTTACATTTAACTGTTATTTGAATAATGAACTAGAATGTTGTGTATTTAAGCCGAGGATTTGAATGTTTTAGAGTTCGAGCTTCTGGCAGTATAGCCCTGCAGTTATGCACTATCGACAACTCTGCCAAAGTTAATTCCAGTTTTACCATCTTGCTAGCCGATGTTTAAAATACGCACGGTTAATTATGTGGAGCGAGCTTAAATTAAGTAGTCTATTTTTGTATGCAGTCTCAGACTACGTTACCTACACTGAAACTGCTGCATCTTACATTATGCTAAATACCCGGAACCAGTGGAGGTTCATCTGCAGCACAAGTATTGCCTTCTGTTCATTTAAAGAGTTTAATAAAAAGATTATTTTAACCTTCTCACGACTTGGTCATCTGCTTCCGACTAAAATGATAACCCGGTCTGCAGGACATTGAGACAAGCTTCTAGACATAGAAGAACCTTACATTTTAATTAAAAAGTTATCGTAAAAAGCCAAAATGGAGCTTCCCAGGTAGCTACCCTATCGAAACAAAATCTTTTAATTAAAATAAAACGCTGAACGAAAGATTCAATTATCTGATTAATAAGTTGATATACTGGTTGTTTTGTTCGTAAACTCTTTTAAGATTTAATAATAGATTATATGTTCTAATAATTTTTTTTAATTTTGCTTTTTTATCATATTTTTTTTTTTTCATTTTAATTTTTAGTTAACTTTTCATACGAATAAAAGAAGTAAACATGAATAGAAGGCCTCAGCCGATAAAATACTGACATCAGACTATCTCGTTCTTGATAAAACTATTAACAAGTATCAAATGCTACCATTCTCAACCTCTTCAGGCGATTCCAAATAATCTGAACATGACTGGGCGTTTCAGATATTGAAGGTTTCTGATGAAGTTAAAAAATAAATCGAATGCAAATTAAGGTGAATAGCACGATTCAGAGTTAAGGCACGTTCATCATCGATAGCTTATACCTCTATTAGTTATTAATTTTCGTCTCGGATAGTCGGATAGCCAGAAGTATTTTTTTTTAAATCGCAGAGCGGAAAACCCCGTTCATGTGTACCATGGATAATAGCAAGAACTAGGAATAAAATTGACATATGGAATTTAACGCAGTGCCACTTTTTTTTAATCGCGATCGATCATGTACACTTCAGCATGTTATCGACATCAGTGATAATATTTTCGCTGCACCTCCAAGGCAAAAGGTTGATAGGAACAAATGGAAAATATTCTGTAGCAAGAAAAAGATTTCAGTTATGTTCACTTTAACTGTAAGGACACAGCATTTTAAGCATCAGCAGAACTCGACTTATTCAGTTTCCACTTGACTCTGATCATCCGAACTGTTGTTGTTCTTTCCAAACCAAGCAAAACTGAATCTGTTAATTTATTTTTATGTGTTAAAAGTTTATGTTCAGTTGAACTATATCAATATCGCCTTTTTTTTAAACTGTTTCAAACAACAACTGATATTTGGTTTGTGTGAAATCACTCGAACTGTTGTTGTTCTTTTCAAACCCAACAAAACTGATTAAATGTTAACAAAACTGTTAATTTGTTATGTGCTTGAAATGTTTTGTTTAACTTTCAATATTTTAACTTTATGAATATCGCCTTTAAGCTACAACAAAAGTTCACTTACTTGTTACACACTTAATTCTAAGTATTCGAACTGTTGTTGTTCTTTCCAAACCAAGCAAAACTGAATCTGTTAATTTATTTATGTGTTAAAAGTTTATGTTCTGTTGAACTATATCATTATCGCCTTTTTAAGTTTCACTTATTTGGTTTTCACTCGAACTGTTGTTGTTCTTTTCAAACCCAACAAAACTGTTAATTTGTTATAAGTTAAAACTGTTATTTTGTGTAAGCGTTTAATTTTTTTTTTATTTAATGTTCAGTTCAACTAAAGACGTTGCTTTTTAAATGCTACAGCAGAACTCCACTTATTTGGTTTTCACTTAACGTTAATTATCCAAATTATTGTTGCTCTTTCCAAAGCAAGCGAAACTGTATCTATTAATTTATTTATGTGTTTTAAATTTCTTGTTTAATATTCAGTTTAACTGTTTGATATCGTCTTTTAAGCTACAAGGGAGCTCCATTTACATGGTTTCCATTTATCCGAATTTTTTTAACTCTAATTATCCGAACTGTAGCTGTTCTTTCCAAACCAAGAAAAGCTGAATCTGTTAATTTATTTATGTGTTAAAATTTTATATTCAGTTGAACTATTTCGATATCGCATTTTTAAACTACAGTAGAACTTTATTTATTTGGTTTCCACTTAACTGTAATTAACCGAACTGTTGTTGTTCTTTTCAAACCAAGCAAAACTGAGCCTGTTAATTTGTTACGTGTTTTAAATTTTTGTTTAAAGTTCAGTGTTTAACTGAAGGAATATCGCCTTTTAAGCTACAACAGAAGTCTACTTACTTGGTATCCACTTAACTCTAAATATCCGAATTGTTGTTGTTCTTTCCGAGTCATGCAAAAACGAGCTTGTTAATTTATCTATGTGTTTAAAATTTTATTTTAATTTAATTGCTAGGAAAAGTTAATGCAGCCGAACGTAAGATTTTTATGCCGGCAGTTAGTTTAAGCACATCGATTAAACAACACATCGTTAAAAATTAATTTAGAAGTTTCGTGTTTGGGTAAATTTATAGTGTACCATAAATAATTTAAATAAAGGGAAAGCATATTTACGGATTACTCTTTGCTTTAAAACCGATGCAAATAAAAATTAAATGCATTGCTGCGTTTTAGTTGAAATAAAAGTGTTGCAGTTTTCCAGCAAATAATTTTAATAATGGGTACTTCAGCAAATAAATAATAATTTTATTGTTTAATGCTGTTAAGAAAGAGTATTTTGTTTATGGAAATGAATTTTTTTAGCTGCATAATTCTTATTGAAATAAAATATGATAAATCAAGTAATTTATTAACTAAATGAATAATTCGAAAACTTATGATTCGAAAATTTTAGATTACAAATTAATGCCACGAACAAGAATTAATCCATATAAATGCCAAATGCTTCATCATTGCATTAACTTTACTGAGCGAATGTACTCCGATTCCAGGAAATGGAATTGTAGGCCTTTTACTGTTCTTGTTGGAAGCGTGCCAAGGATAGATCTTTGCTATTCGATCTCGAACTGATTCATCTTACTATGCGAGCATGATTGGCAAAAAACGAACGGAGTTCTTGTTGGAAGCGTGCCAGAAAAGTTCAATTTATATTTTAGGGGAGAAAAAAAATGTTAAAAGTGAGTTTAATTTTTATCATTCATTAACTTTCTGAAATTTTTTTATCCTAGAATTTTATTGTCAACTAATTGTAGAAAGTAGGTTTTAGGTAATCATAAAACTATTGTTAAAAGAAATCATTTCAGAAAGTTAGCATTTGTCTGATTTTTCCGATTCCACGGCTCGTTTGATTCCTTTCGTTCTTCGCTTCAACTTCGCTAACTATTCCCGATCCCACTGCTCATTCGATTCTTTCCACTCTTCGCTTCATCCTCACTAACTGCTCTTGATTCATTCGTCGTTATGGATCTTTTCCCTCAAGATTATTCTTAGTGAGCGGAGTGACACACGGAATCAAAAACGAACCGATTCATTTCAGTCAACAAAGCGTTCTGATCCGATCTCATAAAAAACAATTTTGCCCATCTTTAAAAAAATCTGCCCTTCACTTACTTTACAGTAAATATGCGTCTACAGTGGAAAAGACAAAGGGGAAGACAATCCAATTTAGCTAATTTCTTACAAATTACAGGTTTTCTTTTGTAGGAAGAGTTATTTTATGGCTATTCGCAAACAAGCTCTAACAATAAAGTTTATAAAGTAGGCGTTCAAGTATTCTCCAGTTTATATGTAAATATACACAGAATTAATACATGCTGGTATCACATAATCAATGGCAAAGAATGCAAATTACATTTCCAGCATCAAATTATCTTGTCAGCGTTATTACGCGTGTAACGATGGCCTGAAAAATGAAAAAGTTATGTCCGTTTTCGTCGAAGTTCATGGTAAATTGCGGCAATTAATCTTCACAGGTTTTGTCTGGCGAGAAAGAAATCGATTTTTCTTTTCCAATTGTAAATGAATACCTATCACCTCTCTCATTAAGCTGTTAGTTTATCACTCTCCTTTCCTAGTAAATACAAAGGGGGGAAAAATGAAGATGCTAGAGATATAAAAAGAATAATGAGTATAAAGACAGTTGGAAAGCGATTGGAAATGTCTGAAATTATGCATCTCCCCTTTCTCTCCTATTAATCAAATCCTAATGTTAAGGAATATTGAGGATATTGCCCGCAAAAGTCTTGCAATAAATGATATGCGTCTTCCTCCAGTTTTAACGAAATACGGTTATAATTCATCATTCTGCAAGAGCTTTTCTATTTATGAACTTAATTAGACATCATACACTGAGGAGGGCACTTATGGGACTCCAAAAGAATGCTATCGATTCAATTTCAGAGGAAGGCTACGATGCTAATTAATCTAAAATTTCTCCGTTGACAACAACAACAACAACAACAACAAAAAAAAAAAAAAAAAAAAAAAAAAAAAAAACCGTCCAAACTATAAAGTGGTGTACAATACAATTCGCCAGCACCAGGATTTGGCAACTGGGTCACCTAATCCCCAGTCATCTTTTAAAAGGGGAAGTATATATTTTCTCCCTTCTTCCAATACGCCTTCGTAGTGTAACGGTAGCACATTCGACGCGTATCCGAGAGATCCAGGTTCGAGTCCCGGCGAGGGCATCGCTCAATTTTCATCTCTCTTGCATCAAAATAAACTAATGTTTCTAGCAACTGAATACCTTTTAAATATATTTATTTAAGAAAATCAATAAATTTGATTAAACAGAGTATATAAAGCCTTTCCGTGCGAGAGATGTGAAAATCAATTGTGAAAAAAGAAGCAGAAAAACAATCTCGAACGGATTAATGACGTATATAGAGAAGTACCACTGTATTCAGCAAATCTCGTCACTGTTAAACTTGGTATTAATAATGAAAATAAAGTAGGACTCGGAGTCTTAACCCAAGTACCGAGTTCAAGCGTTTAATGAAAGCACTCGAACTTGAAAATCCTAGAACTGAGATAAATTCAGACTATTTTACTGATTACTTTATTAGGTATTTTATGTTGATTAACCCATTTTTATGAACTAAACTTTTAGTATGACTTCTCTTTCCGAAGTTCTCACCAGAATGCATATTAATTGTTTAAGGGTTTAAAGATTTAGATTAGAGCTTCTGGCAGTCTCGTATTGCTGTTACTTATTATCGCCAGCTCTGCTTAAGTTTATTTCCAGCTTTAGCATCTTGCTAGCTGACGTTTAAAATACGCGCCGTAATTATATTGAGCCACCTTAAGTAGGTTATTTTGCGTTGTAGTCTTCCATTCCGTTACTACATTTAATAATTTAAATACCCGCTAGTAGGGGAAGTTTGTCTGTGGCACATTCAATATTTTTCTGTTTATTTAAGGCTTAAACAAAAAATGTTCTTTTCAACTTAGTAATTTATTTTAATTAGTAATTTTATTCCCGAGACTTCGTAATTTAACTCAATTCCAGTCGAGTAGGACCTGCAAGGCATTAATGCAAACTTCTAAATACACCAGATACAACTTCAGAATGTAATTTAAATTAAAATCTTGGCAATTTAAAATTTCTTTTGTTTAGTGCTTGATTTTGCGAATAAAATCTCAAATTTATATTATTCTATATGTCCTATTTTCAGCTTGACGACCATTGGAGATACAGAGGGCGTTTACACATTTTTAGAACAATTTTAGAATGGCATTTTTTTAAGAAGCAAATATTTTGGAATAAAAATTTCTGACAACAGCTTATTACCTGAAATGAGAAATATCGTTTGCTACTTTTAAAGTTATTCTTTTTTCAAAATGTCGCATGTAAACAAGTTGTGGATTGAAGGATAGAATTTTGCGCTTTCTGAATAGAAATAATCTTATTCCATTATCCAAAACGTTGTTGTTAAAAGCATCGTATTAAAATTCCGAACATCGGAAAGGGAAAAACAGTCATTACTTTTAAATAAAAACAAAAACTTCAAATAAATACCGGAAAAAAGATACGTACTGTTTCTAAAGTTTAAATCTTCCGACGCAGATTTTAATTGCAAAGTCTTTAAAATAGTACATCTGTAACGACAATAAATAAAATAATAAACCAAGACTTACAACTTATCAAAGCTAAAAAACCTAATGGTCACCATCTTTTGCTGTAGCTAAACGGAGAACAATTTATAGAAACCTATTATGAAAATAATTTAGCCGAAAATAAATGAAAATAAATTTTGACTCTAGATGAAGAATGGATTTACCTAAATGAATGCAAACAAATGAACAAACAAACAAACAAACAAACAAAAAAAAATCTCGAAAACAAAGATAAAAATATCTCATGATCGAAAACAAAGATAAAAATACCACATGACTTCCTTGTACGGCCTATTAAATTACACACATTTATTGCTGTGTTTCATTTAAATTTATTTTCTGGAATTTCATTAGAGATATATTTATTTCTCATTCAATAAATTCAGTTCTAACTTCGTGGCACAAAAATAATACATAAAAACACAACACATCTTCATTAAAAATTGTAAAACACAGAAAAACCTAAAATACCAAATACAGCTAAAAACAGTTAAAAAAACCATATTTACCATTAAATTTAGAGTTTCAACATAAAATAAGCAATTCGGCCAGTGGGCACAAAGACAAATTTTTCAGTGCACAAAAATAAAAGTTTACTTTTGGTCCCACTCGGCAAAACGACACTGAAGTTGATACACAAACTGACTTAATTTACTGTTCTATTAAGATTTTCAAACGTAAACAAATGGCAGCCTCGTTAGGCTTAACACCACTTAAACTACTTTTAAATTGTTGGTAATTCTACAACTATTGCATGCAAATTAACTAAAGGCATAAAAATCTTAACCAGAGCGTAAGAACAACATTATTCAATCACTTTTAAAACAGAAAAAAATGCACAATTTACTAATATATAAGAATAAAAAAGCTCACGAAGCCGGGTAACAAAGTGGGAATATATAAACGTATATATATGTTTGGTGGTGCGGTCGATTGCAACCAAAATGGGAAATGCACAACTGCGTGTTATAGCAGTCTCACATACAAAATTTCAACGTTCTAAGACTGATGGGTTTTGAGTTATGCGAGATAATACGTACATAGGTACAGACATTACGAAAGAAATATATCTTCTGAATCTATTTTAAATCCATTTTACAATCCTTTTTGAGAAAAAGAGTCCTTTATTCTGTCTGCACGTACAGATATCACGCAAAAACGTCGTTCAGATGGATTCGATTTCGTTCAAATATGATACCGGAAATTTTTCGCAATTACAATGCTTCCTTTACTTCGTACCAGGAAGAAAAAATGGACAAACTTAATAGCGCAAAGAAAGTTTCAGGAAAGGATTTATGACCTTCGCACGATTCTCTTACAATGGGAAATTAAAAATAAGAAGAGTGAAAAAAAAAAAAAAAAAAAAAAATGTTAAAATCAACTCAAAGTACTATCAAGAGAAAGTTTTACGTCCGATATTTACAGAAGAAATTCTATATCTTTATCCCAGTGACTTTCAAAAAATGAAACTTTATCAAGACAAAGCAGCGATTATTCCAAGGAGTAGACGCAGGACTAGTCCTAAGAATAGGCATAGGACTAACTCAAAGAATATGCTTACGCACAGGGCTAGTCCTAGTAATAAGCATAGTAATAGGATAAGGATAGTCCTTGGAATAGACATAGGACTAGTCTTAGGAATATGTTATAAACATAGGAATAGTCCTAGGATTAGGCATAGGAATAAGCTTAGGCTCAGGACTAGTTCTAGTAATTGGCTTAGGCACAGGACTACTCCTAGGAAAGGAGGGCAGGACTTGTCCTAGGAATAGGCACAGGGTTTGTCCTAGAAATAAGTATATCATTGGTCCTAGGAATAGGCTTAGGCACATGACTAGTCCAAGAAATAGACTTAGGTAGAAGACTATTCCTAGGAATAGGCACAGAGTTGTTCCTAAGAATAGGTTTTGGCACGCGATAATTCATTCCTAGGAGTAGACGCAGGACTAGTCCTAGGAATAGGGTTAGTCGCAAGACTTCTCCTGGCATGGCACTTCGTAAAGTAGCTCTGCTTTCTCTGAAAAAATGAAGACTGATATACATATATACACCATTTCAA